GTATTTTGGTGATTCTACTTGCATATTCTTACTTCAATAACATTTTGTAAAACATATACGTGACTGAATAATTAGGAGGACATAGTAAAGAACCAAAATTGCTACTATTTTACCCTAAAGTTACGCGCATTTACCTTTTCCTCAGATATCATCAACTAGGCTCGCCAAACGTGGGTATTGATGAGCTTCAAATTCACAAAGTTACTTACTGACATAGTTACCCTAACAAAAATAAGTGGGAAATCAAGTGGAAATTGATAACATCTTGATGTTTAGCCCAAATGACCAAAAAAAGGCGAGAAAATGTGGTGTCCATAAATTGGGCTAGTACGGGAAGGATAACGTGGGGACTTGAACAAGTTCAACGAAATCCCCCTAAATAAGAGATTATTGTTGTTTACAATAATTTCGTCTACGCCAAAACGTTTTCTCAACAATAATTTTGGAAATTTCCTTGAACTTGTTCCAGTGTTCCATGTTAGGCAACCCTTCACCTACTTGTTAGCCTAATTTATGGGCACCTTGTTTTTTCCCAGTTTTTGTTTTCTGGGCTAAATATCACAATGTTATCATTGTTCACATGATTTTGCATAAGGTTTTAATAGGGTAACTGTACCAGTAAGCTACTTGGTGAATTTGAAGTTCATCAATGCTGATGTTTGGCAAGACTAATTGATGATATCTGGAGACAAGGTAAATGCGCGCAATTTTAGGGCATAATAGTAGCCATTTTGGATCGTTACTATGTCCTCATAATTATTCAGTCACTTTCATGCTTAGGAAAATGTTATTCAAGTAAAGATATGTAAGTAGAATCCCCAAAATACACTTTTCAAAAAAATGAAAAATAGAAATATACCCAAATTTGGGAATAAATATATTACACGACAGGGATTAACAATTTATGCAAATTAGGCACACTTCCCAAAAGAATTTCAGGTGTCACCCCTTCTAAATATCTTCTTTAGGTCTGTAAGAATCTATCTGCCAAGATTGGTGCTTTGGACCAGTCGGTCACGATCTTGACGAAAATTAGATCTAAGCCACCTGATTAATAATGGTAGAGGGGATCATCAAGTAATCAGATTTGTGAACACATTTTCCCTATACTACTGCATTTGAATATTGTCAACATGCTCTCAAAATATTTTGAGTATGTAAGGCCAAAAAAAAAATATTCGGTCTCTGGTCAGACCAAAGTTCCAGAATTGACGCGGGGACGCAGCTTTTTAAAAGGTACCAACGGCGTAACTAGGGTTAAGCTTCAAGTGGGGCAGCTGGGGGGTTCATCAATTTTTTTTTTTGAAAGAAGGGGGGGGGGGCAAGGAAGGTAACATATACATTTGTTGTGTGCAATTCAAGATTTCAAATGGAGTGGGGGGTGGGGAGAGACACATGCCCCATAGTTACACCTTTGAAAGGTACACAGAAATATGGAATTCTAACATCATATCAGGTTTAACAGTCCCTTACATATTTACAATTAAAACTAGTTACGAACCAATAAAATATTTGGATGGTATCAACCCCCTTTAATTACATAATGTTGCAGTCCACTCTTTGTTTTATAAATTGAAATACAAAATGGTTTTGTAGGAATGAACCCTGAACACTAGTCTGAGTATCACCCATTGTATCACCCTCTCTGTCTCTGGCCCAACGTCTGATATATCTACGCATGCAAATTTATGCGAACCTGCGCGCCAGCCAATTGCAGTCAACATGACATTATTTCATTCTGAAATCTGGACTTACCTGTTGATGGGTAAATTTTGATGCCATGTTTTTGTAATACAACAACGGATATAGATATCTAATAAAACCTGACATTGGCTTTCAAAACTGTTAACATACAGGAACGCTGACCGTTGGTGAAACTTGAATGCACAAGAGGGCATTCTCATTAAGTCTGTTATTCAAAATACTACATGATGATAAATCAAAGTCGCAGGATGTTTGGGCATCGCGTAACGTATCGATACAGTCCGCTTGACGTAGGCTATTTCTGCTAACATAATTTACAACGTAAAAGCATAAAATATGTCGTGTCTAGGTTTTATTAGATGTACATGACAACGGGTTACCGAATTAAACCCGATATAGAAGGCGCCCGCTGAATGGTCAGAATATAGAGATCAAGACACAGTCTTGTTTTGCATTAATTACTTGCCGAATCTGCTTGCATATCATAGACCCTTGCTATACATGAAGATATTCCATAGACTACTTTAGCACCCATCTCCCTACAATTAAGAACAATCCACAATGCAGTGCGAGTGTGCCAACAAGTGTTTGCCTCAAGAGGCCACTTTTCAACTTGACGGTCTATTTAAAAGTATACTAACTTCTACAAATGAACTTACCTGTACATGGAAGTACATTGGGGAATCTGTTCTTGTTTTTGTAGACAGCTTTCTTGACTTCCTCACAGTTGACTGCCACTGACATTTCATTTAGAACCTGAAGTTTAAAGTAAACAAATTGACAACACATGTTACAATACTGTTTCTCTTTCTAGCTTGGACTTCAATTACAATAAACAACTGTTGACTAATGTGATGTGGGGAGGGGAGGGGGCAGGGGGAGGGGAGGGGGCAGGGGGAGGGGATGGGGGGCACCTTGTCCCCAGCTCCAGCAGCTTTTTTGAAAGATATTTTTTTCATAAATGGTTAGAGAGCTCTGACACAAAAAAAGGAAAAGAAACCAAGCTCCGAAACCATTACAATGAGCCGTGAAAATTGGCATTTATTTTCCAGTATGCATAATAATGGTCAGTTTTGAAGAGCGCCCCCATTTGGAAAATGGATACCAGCCCCCTCCCCCCCCCCCCCCTTTGGATTTTACAAAGGCCGAGTGTTCGGGGATGTGTGAGTGCGGTTGACCCCCTGACATCAAAAGCTGGATAGGCCACTGTGTGGGATATGACGTTTTTAACACCCAAGGGCTGCATTTGGCCTCGGGTGCTATGTACATGTATGGCCAACACATTACACACTGGGGCACAGGCTGCATTTTGCAGTCCATGTGCAGTACACACATCACCCATAAAGAACTCACTTTCGATGTGAGAAACCTTTAAAATGATTATTTACATTTGCAAGGTTGACACCAAAAGAAACAATGCTTCTTTGGGAAAATCTGTAACTTTAAAAGCATTTTTGAAAAACTTAACTAAAGTCATCACAAATATCTTATATTGCGATCCCATATCAAATGTCTGCATTGTAATTATTCATGCAAAGTATAGACACTGTTTACAGTCTTCAAATAATCATGAAAATTCCTTTAGAAATGTGAAAATGAATATCACTTGAATATGACACCATACAATGCTGTATTTGGGTTTAAAGATTTCCAGATGGGACTGACAGGAATAACCAACTTTTAATGTTCTATATGTTGTGTTGTAATCTAGTGGGTGTCATGCATACATTGGCATATAGGCCTATTCCCTTTGCTACATAAATTTCATCCAAATGTACAATCATGTACATGTAGGCCTATACAGTTCAACACATTACATATGTGTTAAATTCATATTTCCGCTTCAGTGTAACACAGTGACTGGAACAGGCCCTTGGTAAATCTATTGTTACCAGAAACTGGCTTTGAAGGTGTTCACAAAATAACAATACCTGTTGACTAGGCAATACAAGTTCAACTGTGTGACCTGTGATCCATTGCAGTCTGGTGTATTTATAGAATTGGGAATTTACAGGCAATGAGCAATGCCACACCTTACAGACATTCAAGTCAATCCAGAGAGTGAGAACCAGCCATCATTAGTTGCTGCAAAAGAGTATTCCAGCAGTTTCTTCATCAAACTGCCAAATTGATTGCAGAAATATCTTCTGACATCATTCAGGTATGTTTAGTTGATAATAAGCTTGAAAAACGTAACCACAATTGGTTAAGTCCTATCAATGGATAAGTCATATTTTTCAGTTCATATAAACGTAAACAACTAACACTTTAGGCCACATTTTTTATATTTTGGATTACAGATCCACTGATTTAAAAAAAAAAAATCTTTGCCAATTGAAAAAAATTTTAAACAATGTTTGGCCAATTTTTAATTTTATGTTTCTGCTGAACGTGATATAAAGCAATTGGCATTGCTGAAAATCGTCATTTTCTCTGTTAAAAGTTTCTCCATCCACACAATGTTTGCATTTTGCTAGAAATACAGCAGGCACATTGGCAACTTCCGTGGCTACAATATAGCAATACGGAACAAAACTGTGCCTGGTGAAGTGGATATTGCACGTTTATCCTGATCACAACCCGTTCAAGATCGGACGACTTCTGTATACTTTTCTCTTCATATTTTTTAGTTCAAAAATAAATATTTTCTTTGTGAAATTTTAGCCCAAGACTAGTTTTTGAGAAGAAACATGAGTTGGAATTTCACTATCAAGTTTGATTTTACTGGTTTGCGCAGGTGCAGTTTTGTAAATTATGAATGCTTATTACAACCATATCATCATTTGAAGTTTGAATACATGCAAATCCTAAAGCTTTTAATTAATGTGCTTCATTTTCAGGTTAAAGGTCTGTCTACTCCTATCACATCAAACCAAACAGTGAAGATGGCATCTAATGTTACAGCCCAATCAGTGTTGGAGAAGATTAGTGTGAATCATCTGGAATGCTCCTTCTGTACCAACCGTTTCAGGCAACCCAAACTGCTGGACTGTTTGCATAGTTTTTGCCTGCAATGCCTTCAAGAGCTCAGACAGAGCCAAGATCCTAGTGGCACAAAGCTGACATGTCCTCTGTGCATGTGTGAAACCATGTTGAAAGGGTCTGGGGTTGCTGATCTCCCTAATAACTTTGCATTCAGTGCCCTGGTCGAGGAAGTTACAATGCAGGAAAAGCTACTGGAAGGTCAAGGGTCAGACATCAAATGTCAAAATTGTGATGAGGAGAATCAGGCTATTTCAAGATGCATGGACTGTGATCATTTCCTCTGTCAAGAATGTCAAAAGGCTCATAAACGTATGACATTCATGAAATCTCATAAAATCTACACACTGGCTCAACTTCGATCAGGAGAGATTGTCTACAAGAGTAAACTAAGAGAAGACATTCCACAATGTGGTAATCATCCAGATCAGAATCTCAATGTCTACTGCAACACATGCCAGCAAGTCATATGTACACCTTGCTCAGTACTTGACCATGCAAAACACTCCCTCATTGGACTACCTGTGGCTTTTGAGAAATGTCAGAAAAAAGTTAAAGAACTTGTTGCAAGAGTTGGTAAGAGTAAAACAAAACTGAACAACACCATTGAGAAGACTTGCAAATCTCGCAAGAAACTGAATACCATGTTTGCAAACACCAAAAAGAAAATCACAGAGAAAGCTAACCAAGAGGTTGCCAAGATCCGACAGGAGGAGCAGAAACTGTTGAAAGAGACTGACAGGATTTATCAAAAAAGAGTAACAACATTTGATGCAGCTCAAGCCAATAACAGCAAAGATGTGACCCAGACAGAGCACAAGCTGGAGGAGGTGAAACAACTCATGAATCAAGCAAGTTGCTATGAGATTCTTGAACTTCAGCAGAAGCTCTTGCATAACTTCAGTGAACTGACAGGGAAACAGCCACAGCAAGTTCCTAACAAATTGACTTTCATGGACTTTGAAGAAGGTGAGAGGTCACTTGGGAGACTCATTCCAGAAGAAGAGCCAAAGGTTGCAGCAAAGCAATCACCAAGACCTGCAAGATCATGTGTGAAGGAGAAATGGGAACGGAAGACTGAATTCAAGAACTTTGAATTAGGAAATACACAGATACATAATTTGTCAGCACTCTCTGACAATAAAATAGTATTAACCAATTGGAATAATACATTATTCACAGTATCACTGACCAATACTCAACATACACCATCTCCTATCCCACAAAGGCTACAAATCAATGGCCTCACTGATGTAAAGTGTATTGCAGTGAGCAAGGATGACAAGCTCCTTGCCCTAGATGGTCCAGTAGTCAAGGTCTTCAACAAGCAACATCAGCTCCTCCATCAGTTCACACCAGGTAGAGGGTCAGACAGCCAACCAACATGCCTTGCAGTGGATGACAGCAATCTGATAGCAGTGGGTTATGCAGGCAAGGAGGAGATATCTCTACACAACCCAGATGGATCCCGCATCAGGAGACTGCCTGCTCCAATGATGGGATATTATCTAACAATGCACAATCACCGCCTTATCTACATAAACGGGCCTAATAAAAGGTTGGTATGTGTAGAGTACTTTGGTGTCAGTGTATTCTCAGTTGACATGTCCAGCAACATGCAGAGGGGTTGGGGCCCTACTGGTGTGTGCTGTGACAGTGATGGCAGCATCTATGTTGCCGTGTATGGAGATCCAACAGGTGATATTCTGCATTACAGTCCTGATGGCAAGTACATTGGATGTGTGATCAAGGAATGTGATTCTCTACTGGGCATCACATTCACATCGGATGGTGAGCTGGTAGTGGCTGCACAACGGTCTGTACAGGTCTATCACCGAGTGTAAGGACAGATTAATTAAACTGGGGTTATCCAGTGTATCCAACAAACACTTCCATCAGACATTGAACATTGTTCTGAAAAAGAACATTAAAGTTCATTCCCTCAATAAAACATTCGATAATACTGTATACATGTATTTGGTTTATTTCTAAGGTCTTTGGTGTTTGTATGTGTTGACTCTTATACTTTAAGCCTACTTCCTATAAAATCTTAGATGTGGTGGCCCAATAATGAGAGTAAAGGAATGATCCTTCACATTGTTTGCAAATAGCGCAGTGTACATTTTTAAAAGTATTATCAATGAGACGGAAAGTATTACCACGAAAGGCAATTTAGTTCAATTTTCTCAGATTTGTCTCAGCAAATACGAAGTCAATGCATGATGTGCTTTCCAAGAATAAGATATAACCCTACTCCTGTATAAAATGTAAATATTTCCTTAAATTTTGTTATTCAAATTTTCAATTATTGGGAAAATTGTTGAGTTTAAATGAATGCAACTTATTTTTGAATGAGAAAGATTTTGCACCTTTTGAACACGAGACAAAAGTAAAAACTCAAAAGCATGGATGAAATATGTGTGATTTTGTACTCAAGTGATAGTTTAAAAGTAAATCATATGCAATCCCTTGGTTGTCTCTTTCACAGTGCTTTCTGAGCGCCTCATCAAATTAATATTAGTTTCATTACATTTACAACCAAGTTAAAAATGAAAACCTTGTGCATTCTACTGCAATGATACATGGATGTTTGTAAATGTGGTTAGTATGATGGATGTACATTTGTAAATTGAAATTTTTTTTCTGCCTTTCTCATATGTGATTGTTTACATACTACATTACAAGATGCATTTTGGAACATTCTATGAATTTGGGGTCCACTTTTTCCTGTCCCTATACGTCTGACATCTACGATTTTGTAAAAGAAGATGCACTCCTTTATGTGTGTACTCTTCCTCCAAGAATGATTCTGTGAATCAAATGACCTACCCAAGAAATATTAATTAGTTTAATGTCATTTTCAATGCCACTTAAATGGCAAATTATAAATTTTGGATGTGCAGGGACAGGAAAAATGTCAGCCTTTGGATCTTAATTGTATAGAATGACCTACTTGTGAGAGGTTCCATATCATTACAATAAAAGTTTAGTTTATTCCATAAAGGATTGAGGCTTTTGCTTCTTTTAATAAGTATTGGTTTGCTAAGTGCTGATAGACCAAGTAGTCTAAATGAACTTGAAGCAATGAGCATTTGCTTTAATTACAGAATATCTCTCCTAGAGAACACAGCTTCCATGACAACAATGGCATTTCAGCAATGATCCAAAGTCTGTTATTTTACCAATCAGCATCTGGAACTTTCTAAAGGTACCAGCGGCATAACTACGGTTGGAAGGTTTTTGTAAGTAAAAGGATAATTTTATTTTTCATGGGCTTTTGTTTTTTCAAAGACTTTGGAAAAGTAGTTTCTATTGAAAAGGTGGATACAATGAAAATGGAATGTCATCGGCATTTCCTTGTGTGGAAAAGGTAAAGACACACTCATATTCACAGTATTTTAGGGGGAACACTGGGGCATTGAAAACATCTAAACAGTAAAGTGTTTATATTGTGTATGATTGGTCCAAAAGATTATAGCAGGCAGCTATTGAAAACATACATTTGTACAAACTCAACCACCCAGAATGTAATCAAGTTGTGCGGTTCTTCTAATACTTTGTAGATTGAATGAGATTAAAAACATTGTTAATTTGTGAAATAAATATATATATGTACAAGTCAAAGGCAAGTTGCATAAACGAAGTTTTTTTCTTCATATTTCAGGATTGATTCTACATGTTTTGGAAAATAGGCAAACGGAATTTTTTCGTTAATTGAACACGTAAACATCACATCCTTAGCATCACGTAACATATCGTTACAGCCCATGTGACACAGCCTAATTTGCTAACATAGTTCACAACGTAAAAGCATAATAGATGTCGTGTCTAGGTTTTACTAGATGTACATGACAACGGGTTCAAGAACCAATATAGAAGGCGCCTGTTGAATGTTCTCGAGGTCAATTAGACGCAGTCTTGTTTTGCATAATAATCGTCGAATCTCTCGAATATCATAGATCCTTGCTGTACAAGGGGATATTTCATAGACTACCTTAGCACCTATCCCCCCTACAATTAAGAACAATTCACAATGCAGTGGGTGTGTGCCAACAAGCGTTTGCCTCAAGAGGCCAAAAGTATAGTAATTTCTACAAATGAACTTACCTGTACATGGAAGTACATTGGGGAATCTGTTCTTATTTTTGCAGACAGGTTTCTTGGCTTCCTCACAGTTGAGTGCCACTGACATTTCATATAGCACCTACATTTCAAAGTGAACAAATTGACAACACATATTACATTTATTTCTCTTTCTAGCTTTGACTTCAATTATGAATCCAGTAGTTTTACTGACTAATTGCCTATTCATTCTCCACCAAGCGCATGGACAACATTATAGCCATACACCAGTATGGCAGGAATATAGAACTGAGTCTATGACTCGGAACTTGCGCTGCAAATTCTCAGACTTAACTTCAAGTTACAATGGCTGATGACTCAAACTCGGCTCTCATGACTCAACTTATGACTCAGACTAGACATCAGGGACATGTCACTGGTGAGTCACATTTCACTGACTCAACGAAACATTTTTGACGAAACTGTCTGGTAATACATTTAGCTATTGCTGATTGAGTGCAAAATTTGGTTTGTTGTTGGTAACAATTGGTTGATATAAAGCCCTTGTATTCTGATACATTCTGCTTTGCAGATATGAAAATGGGAAGATCTGATAACCTCACTTGAAATTCTATAGACTACAGAAATTCATACAATGTTTTTGAGACTTTTAAAATTCTGCAAATATCACTGAGCCAAACTTTTACCCCAAAGTCAGCTTGAATTCCTCCACAGGGTTTTGCTTGTCCATCTGTTTCTGCAGTGTGGTAATGGTGTTCGGTTGTGACTGACCCAATAAGCACCAACCTTAGCCGGTCTGGTGGGCGTCATGTGTCACATCTCAGCGTCGCTGACCACACGGTCTTGGTCCTTCTAGAGGGATGTTGGTGTCAGAACCCCAGGAGCTAGAATTGTCTCACCATGAGCCTAGGACCTGGGGAAAAGGGAGGGGGAGAATACAACATCAAATTTCACTGATAAAATACTGTAACTATAGTCACCCGTGGTTATTTTTGTAAACAGTTTTGCACATATTTCATGCTGTTCGAATGTTTAAACAACAGCCAACATTATCAGGCTGCTGCTGACAATGCCAAGGACTCATTTAACATTTTCCTGGATCAGAATCTCCTTGTCATTCCTCTGCTGGATAAAATCATCCTCCATGGTGACTTCATATAGGGATCTTGTATAGGGACCACATACACAGTCTGGAGTGGCGTCATCAACAAGCATGCAGTTGAAACGACCGATTGCATAAACTCAACCTGCATGCTGATTGAGACATCACCAAACCCACTACCTTTGTCAGATGTCCGATAAGGTTAGCCCTGTTTTTATTAAAACCTCAACACTTTGAATATTTTCAGCATCCATAGCAAAAACAAAGTGAACAAAATCCATCTAGATTTCATACAGAGTCTAAGCAAATTTTGCATGCACATGTGTAGCTCACAACTGAAGAAGTCCAGTATTTCAGACCTTGATGGGGGATATATAACCCCATCAGATTTCTTTAATTAACTCTTTCAGGAATCTGGATCTTAATCTGGCAGAATCCTATTTAATTTATTTTAATATATTTTTATCATATAACATCAAAATAAGTTGGTAGAGATGAACTTTTTTATTCCTATTTTTCTTGTGGCCATCCAATTTTATTTCTATTTTTCAAACTGCATACTACTTTTCGTCTATTTTATTTAAATTATCCTTTCTTAAATTTATTCAGTTGTATTTTGTTGCTTATTTCATTTATGTATATGACTGCTAAAGATGCTCATTTATCAAATGTAGGCAAATGATTTTGCATTACCGCCATGTGCGCGCATTTTCAACATGAGAGATCATCTGCCATATGCTCTACATATTAAGTTGTCACCATTGTCTGTGGGCACTATTTTTTATAAATAGCATTCTATTTTTTTAATAGCAGCCTATTTTACCACTATATTTTTTTACTTTTCAATGTTCCCCTTTTTTTGGGGGGGGGGGGGGCAAAATACACTGGAAAGAAATAGATTTAAAAAATATATAATTTAATAGGAACAAATGTATTTTTTCTCTATTTGTTTTTAACCAAAGTGAGCAAATAGATTATTAGGAAAAATTTATTGACACCACAAATTCTCTTCAGGCTGAAATTTGAAAATCACCAGGGTTGCTTACTCCAAAATAGCATTGGTGACTTCTGATTCTATTTTTGTGTGGGGCACATGGGTACATGCAAACACTGACTGCTATTTATGCACAGTAAACCTGCATTCATGTGTGCATAAATTACCCCTACAGTACACGTACATGTGGACTCCAATAGCGTCTATAAATAGAACTGGAAATGTATGCACTGTGTGCAACATACTTAGGCATTCATGTACATGTACATGTACAGTGCATTGCATTCACATCAAACGGTGTCAACTGCCTACGTTGTGCGCCATCTTCCAGAAGGATAGTTTCAAATTTTCTTCTAAAACTAACAAAAAGACTTCAATTCAGGTAAGATACTTGATGTTGTACCGTTGTTGTACTCATTTTACATGGCATTTGTCAAGAATCTTGGAATAATTACCAGTACCGGTATGTGCAGCATTGGTCTTACAAGAGGAGTAATCAATGGCAATGCTCAAATACAATACTCTCTAAAACAAATGCCCTGTTGTCAGTCTACCGGCTTGAGAGGACTAAACATATCCTTGATTCTACATTTGAACCTCAAATAAAAATGTAATAGTTGAACAAAGAACTTGATAATGTATGTCTTGAACCTTGTATGTCTTGA